TCTTGAAAATTCTGATTCCTAAGATCACATCAGCAACTCCTAAGTCTTTCATGTTGAATTTGCTAGCCAACATGCGCTTAGTAGGATTTATATTTGCCATATTTTTGCTCATTATCAACATGTCTTCAACATATAAACAAACAATGACTTCATGTCCTGAAGTGTTTTTAATGTAAACATATTTGTCACACTCGTTGATTTTAAACCCTCTTGCCAACATTGTTTGGTCAAATTTGGCATGACATTGTTTGGGTGCTTGTTTAAGTCCATAAAGCAACTTAACAAGTTTGCACACTTTCTTTTCTTTACCCGGAACCACAAAACCCTCAGATTGTTCCATGTAAATCTCTTCCTCCAATTCTCCATTTAAGAAAGCTGTTTTAACATCCATTTGATGGATTTCAAGATCGCACATGGACGCCAGTGCCACTAACACCCTAATAGATGTTATCCTCGTTACTGGCGAGTAAGTGTCAAAGTAATCAAGGCCTTCCTTTCTATAACCTCTGACAACAAGTCTTGCCTTATATTTGTCAATAGTGCCATCAACTTTCATTTTCCGTTTAAAGATCCATTTCGAACCTAAAGACTTATTTCATGAAGGAAGGTCAACCAATTCCCATGTATGGTTATCTAAAATTGATTGAATCTCACTATTGACTGGCTCTTTCCAAAATGCTGAATCAGAAGATGACATAGCTGCTTTAAAAGTTTGAGGCTCATTTTCAAGCAAGAATGTCACTAAATCTGGTCCAAATGAAGTAGATGTTCTTTGACGTTTGCTAGGCCTCGGATTTTCTTCACTTGGAATATTTTTCTTTGGTTCTTCCCGTGGTCGTTTAGGTCTTTCACTGAACGACACGCATTCAGTTTTATACGAATAGATGCTTTCAAAAAATTCAGCATTACCTGATTCAATTACCGTATTAACATGAATTTCAGGATTATCATATTTATGAACCAAAAACCGACATGCTTTACTATTTGTAGCATATCTAATGAAAACGCAATCCACGTTTATTGGTCCGATTTCTACCCTTTTGGGTAAAGCTACTTGTACCTTTGCTAAACACCCCCACACTATGAAATATTTCAAGTTCGGTTTTCTTTATTTCCATTTTTCATATGGAATTGATTGTGTTTTGCTATGGGGTACTCTGTTGAGTATTCGGTTAGCTGTAAGGATAGCTCCCCCCACAAACTCTGCGGTAATCCAGAACTTATTAATAAAGAATTCATCATTTCCTTTAATATCTGTTTTTTCCTTTCCGCAATTCCATTGGATTGAGGTGTGTGTGGGGCAGTAGTTTGATGGATAATTCCATATTTCGAACATATTTCTGCAAATGGAGATTCATATTCTCCACCCTTATCACTTCTAATCATTTTGATCTTTTTATTCAATTGATTCATATTTTCCACCCCTCACTTCTAATAATTCAATTGCTTAAATGTTTCAATTGCTTCATCCTTACTATTAAGCAACTAAACATAACAATATCGAGTGCAATCGTCAATAAAAGTAATAAAATACTTTTTCCCACATCGAGATGGTATCGACTTCATATCACAAATGTCAGTATGAATTAAGTCTAAATGATTTGAATTCCTTTCAACAGACTTATAAGGATGTTTTACAAACTCAGATTCAGCACATATTTGACATTTTAATTTATTACACTCGAATTTAGGCAATACTTCTAAATTAATTAACTTCCGTAGGGTTTTATAATTGAGATGTCCTAATCGAATATGCCATGATTCATTTGACCCCAATAAATAAGAAGAAGCTGCAATTTTATTCATACTGTCAACAACCATTACATTGAGTTTGAAAAGGCCCTTTGTGAGGTAGCCCTTTCCAATATACATTTCATTCTTGCTTACAACAACTTTGTCAGAAACAAATATACATTTGAATCCATTCTTAACAAGTAAAGAAATAGAAACTAAATTCTTTCTAATAGTAGGAACATGAAGAACGTTGTTGAGCATTAACACCTTGCCAAAAGTCATTTTCAGGAATATCTTCCCATAACCTTCAATCTTGGTTGTTGCAGTATTTTTCATGGAAAGCACTTCTTCGGGACCAATAGTAGAGTAAGTTACAAATGCTTCTTTGACAGCACAAACATGTCGAGTAGCTCCAGAGTCAATCCACCACTCCTTCGGATTTCCAACTAGGTTGTATTCCGAAAACATTGCACACAGATCATCAATGTTATCATTCTTCTCTACTATGTTGGCCTGTCCCTTCTTCTTATCCTTTTTCGGGAGACGACAATCAGGGGCTTTGTGACCAGCTTTTCCACAATTATAGCAGTTGCCCTTGAATTTCTTTTTGTTCTGCTCCTTAGTCTGTCAAGAAGACCTCTTTCTCTTCTTACTTTTTGGAGCAGTCTCCTCAACGATATTAGCTCCCATGATCGTTGAATTTCCACGAGACTTTTTCTCGGCTGTTTTGTTGTCTTCCTCAATCTTGAGACGAATCACAAGATCTTCCAACTTCATTTCTTTGCGCTTGTGCTTAAGATAGTTCTTGAAATCTCTCCGCGAAGGAGGCAATTTTTCAATCATTGCAGACACTTGAAATGCTTTATTCATGACCATACCTTCAACAATAAGGTCGTGAAAAATAAGTTAAGTTCTTGAACTTGGGTTCCAACGGTTTTGCTGTCTATCATTTTATAGTCTAGAAATTTGGCAACCATAAATTTCTTCAAGCATGCATCTTCAGTCTTGTACTTCTTCCCAAGTGCGTCCCATAATTCCTTCGAAGTTTTCACAACACTGTAGACATTGTACAAGTCATCCTCCAAAGCACTTAGAATGTAGCCTTTGCAAAGAAAGTCTGCCTGTTTCCACGCCTCAACAATCATAAACTTCTCATTGTCCGGCATGTCGGCGGCATGCACAGGAGGGTCTTCACTGGTGAACTTCTGCATACCAAGTGTGGTAAGCCAGAAAAACACCCTTTGCTGCCATCCTTTGAAGTTGGCTCCAGAAAATTTCTCCGATTTCTCGGCCGGTGGAACAACAGTTCAGCTTGACGAGGCTATTGTTGTTGCCGCAACAATCGCAGAAGAATTTTCATTATCAATTGCCATTTCTCAATGTCAACAACATAATAGTTCAATTAATGAAAAAAAATAGAATAGTAAATAGTACTGTAATGAACGATAAACAATACGTTTAATAAATAAAAACTGAAGTTTTTTATATATTGTTTCATAGTAATCGATGAAGTTTTTATGTTCTTCCAATCGTTTCTGAATTTTAATACTCCGATGAAGTTTTTATATATTCAAATCAGAATAGAAAAAATCAGATGGAGTGAAAAACCACACAGGTTTTAATCTCTAAAAACAGAATACATAATACAATAAAATAATTTTCTTAAGATTGTTAGTCAATATGTATTACTGTAAATAATGAAGCAGTAAACTTTCTGAAACAGGAAAAACAGAAATAGAAAATTAGCAACAACAGAATGTCGAAATAATTTCTGGAAAAATAATTTTGGAATAAATCGAGCCCACTAAATGCACAGTGTGTCCTTAAGAAAATTATTCCCCTCAAGTACCCGAGGTGCTGGAATACTATCCTCTCAGGATAGAACGATTTAACTCACCGGAGTGTTGGTACCAAAAACGCCGATGAAATAGCGAACCACTCGAAGGCTGTAAAACACATTGAAGATTTTGTGCAGAAGAAGAAGAAGAGTAGAAAATTTCGTAATTCAAGATTCTGGGATTCAAAGCATATTTATAGATTTTCTGGCACTGTTTTCTGAAAAGGTTTGCAACCTTTTAGGAACAACCATAGCCATTTGAACATGCTGTTTGAAATATTGCGGGAAAATATATTTAAAATAATTCAAAAAATAAAACGGACCAGACCGGATTGTATCGCGGGTCCTGGGTTATTTCGAGTTGAATTTTCGTTAATTAATTTAATTAATTAATTAAATAATTGAAAGAATTAATCTTTGACCAAATAATTAATCAATCAATCTTTGACCAAATAATTAATCAATCAATCTTTGACCAAATCCGAAGCCGAAGCCGAAGCCGAGAGAGTAACGATGACGACGCGATGCTTACTTTCTTTCCAACCCATTTAACACCAAGAGAAGTGTTTTATCAATATAAGGACATTCACTTTTCTTTCCATTATCAATGAGAGACACTTTGTTCTTTCCAAAGCAAAAGGAAGCTCACTTTCCCTCCACTTTTTTCATCTATTTCTCATTCACCAATCTTTAATCCCAACATAATGCTAAACATGCATGGCTACTTTTTTAATGCATGTGACAAATTAGCAAGATCCACCATTCATGGCGTAGTAGATGGCATTTACTATTTTATTCTAAAATATATCATATGGGTATCTTATTAAAAACAAATCTTCGATTTAATGTTTTTAACGAATACTCTTGCCATTTTGAAATGAAAAGTTTTTTAAGTTATTACTTTTATATGATTTTTGAATGTCTAATCTTATTTCAAAATGTAAGTTAATATCTTATATTTAAGGCCAAAAGTTGGGCCAATGAAAAGAGTAAGCCAAAAGGCCAAAAAAAAAAAAAGATAATTAATTAATTAATACAAATTTACTGCGCATAACTTCTTGATCAAAATTTCTCAATCGTATTTTTTGAATCAAGTCACTTTGACAACATTCTATTTAGGTCAATGAGTTTCTCTATTAATTTCATTACCTTGTAGTTATCCATAAGATTTCAATATTTTATCTTTAATTGACCTAAGAGTTGTTTCGGGCATCTTCGATTATTCTTTTTTAGGGAGATACCGAGAGAAAAGAATTCAAAATTGCAAATTGCATTATTTATAAAGGTTTGCCAGCCTAGGTTAGACGTAATATTAAAGTTAAATAAATTATAAATAAAACTAAAAGAAATTAATATAGTACATGTTATAGATCTCGTTCTTTCATGGAGAAGCTTATAAATTACGACCTTTGAAAGCTATAAGATGCTCACACTGAAAAAAAAGATTTAGTAAAAACGCGAAGTACTATTCTCTATCATGGCATTGCTTAAGATTAATTACTTTTTCGTTTTTCTTCTCATAGCAACAATTAGTTAGTATTCGTCTCTTTCCTCCTTCTCTATCTCTATCTCATGTCCAATGTAGCTACATATTGTGACCACATACATATTTCATTTGTATGCATGCTAATTTGCTTTATTCATGACATTTGAAATGTGAAATTTTTATGTCATATCAATCGTAATTTTATTTGATTGTTACAATGGTAAATTTCTTTCAGTCAACTTGTCGTGGTTCTCAGAGATGCAAGGAGTAGCTGCACGTGATGTTGATCATGGTATTTTAGGACTCAAGAAGAGACTACTCCCACAAGTCGATGATTTTGTTTTGACTTGTTATAGGCCTTGTACAGAAGACAAAGAATGCAGTGATTGCTCGCTTTGTTGTTCATGCCATGGCGCCGAAGGTTTCAAAACTTGTAGCTTCTGGTAGTACAATTATATTAATACCCAAAATAAAGAATCACCCAACAAAAAATTAAATCCCTTATTATGTTGTGGTGTTTCTATGCACTTGATGTCAAGTGTTTCCTTCATCTTTTCTTGCTTCCTTGTATTTTATGTTTTGTACGAATAAAGAAAAAGTCAAGTGAATGACTTTTCAAAAGTAAGAGCTAGCTTTAAGTAGGGCCGTGCATAATTTGGTAAATATCAAATTATCGTATCGAAATCGAAAATTTTGGTATATGGTATTCGGTATTTTGGTATTTGGTATGGTGAAATACTGATACCGTACCGAAATATATATTATATTACACAAAACACATATTATCAATTATAACATAAATATAAAAAATCTAAAATTTTACTTTTCTTTATTCTCTAAGTTCATTAATTAACTCTAAACAAGTAACAAGACATTTCTAATGATCAAATTTATTCTTTTATATACAATTTTCTCTCTATGGGTCGATATTTATTGTTTTTGGACAAAACTTTTGTCAACAAACATTTTCAGTTTTGTATTTTTGAGTACTTTAATTAAGAATACTAGAGTCTATGCTCTATGCACTAGTTAGTATTCAAACAGAATAAACCGAAGTTCCCGAACCGAATAAACCGAAACCGAAAGGAGAAAAACCGAACCATACCGAATTTAATTAGGTACGGTATTGGTATAGAATTTTAAGAAATCGAATACCAAACCGAAATGTCTACATACCGTATCGTACCGACCAACGAACACCCCTAACTTTAAGTACTCACATGTGAGTTTTGAAACTTGAAAAATGTTCAAATTTACCCTTGTAGTATTTGATTTGTCTTATATTTGCTCTTTGTTGATCTATCAATCCATGAAAGGTCCATATCGTTAATTTCATCCCATATTTATCACTCCCTCTGGCAGTTGTTCTGATTGGCTCTGACATTTGCCATAGTACTGCCAGGGGCGGAGCCGACATGCGAGACACGGGTTCGGCTTCGGCCGAACTCAATAACTTTGGTTCAAACTACGTATTTGTCTTAAAAAATTCATTAAATATGAACAAATTATTAATTTGGAACCCAGTAACTTAAACAGACTAATATCCTGAACCAATAAACTTCAAATCCTGGCTCCGCCTCTGAGTACTGGAGCCCCATAGGCGAAACAAAAGATTTAGATTTATTCCTAATTATCAAAATATAGTTTATATATACCATCCGATTCACTTTCGTGTCTGAAAAGAAAAATCGATTTCTCTAACAGCTTATTTGGATTGTTGTTACATGTCGTTTTATAATGTATCATATTGTATTATACTGTATTATTTCATGAATACAACGTTTGGATAGATTGTATCGTTTGACGCCGTTTTATGATATCACACACCAAGAATATGAAAAATAAACTTACAACATTACTAAAAAAAATAGGATGCATAATAGAATTATTGTATAAAAAAGTAAGGTAAATGATAAAATATGATTATTTAATAACAAGAAAGAGCAAGATGAGAGAAAAAAGCAAGGTAACGACGCCACCACACCAAATCCGTCGTTCCATAAAGTGGCACTCTTTGTCGTTATGTAACGACGAATTTAACGATACAATACAGTAAAATTTAAGTAACAATCAAAACATACATTGTATTTAAAGTAACAATACAATACAATACAATGGTTAACAACTATCCAAACAAGCTGTAAATTCCATCCTTTTTATTTATTTATTTATTTTTGTGCAACCGCGTTGTAAATGCGAGAGAAAGTACGTGGAATTAAAATTTGTATACTAGTAATATGTGAATTAAACAACCAAAAGGACAAAAAAGCCCTCCTATCCTTTAGAACACAAGTTTTCAATTATACATACACTATTTTTAATACAGCGAACCAAACATCCAAGAAGAACTAATTTCTACTTTACAATTCATGTATTATAATTTCTGCATAACTTATCTATCGACCAAACGACCCTTATAGCACTAAACGTGTAAGTGAAGAGCACACCCAAAAAGCCAACGCAAAAACTAAGTCCAATTCCAGCATAGAACCATAACTCATAAGACTGTTCATCAACTTGAGGAGTTTGCTGCTCATTTACATGACATGATCCATTGACATTGCAACTTTTCTTGATCAAGTTTCCACAAAGGCTAGGATTACCAACATAAAATGATTGATCATTCAAAGTTTGGAGTTGATTTAATTTCCAGTTGGAATCGGACCTGATAAATTGTTATAAGACAAGTTCATATAACTCAAATAATTCAAAGAAGCCAAACTTTGATAGTGGAGTGCTATTCAATTCGTTTATTTGGCCATTGACTTGTCAAATAAAGGAGGGCAACTTTGTCAACATTAGGAAAATCAATTTCAATTGAATCCTCAACAAAGGCAACAAAAATCTTTTTTTATGTTTTTATTTTTAAGCTTCTAAATCTCCGCTCATAAAAAGGTCAACCACTCAACCAACCTTCTTATTTTTACTTCTTTTGATCATTTTTTATTTTCCTTTCACGATTCGTTGTTCGATAGTCGTATTGACGTCCACTAATTCGAATTGACACCGCATAATGCCCATTAAAAAAAGAAAGCGTTCCCTACTAGAGTATTAGTTTTCGCGCATAAATTGCTTAATTGCATTTCGAGTAATGCAAAAACACTTGATAACGACTATGATCATCTGGTACACAAAGCATCCCGCATTCACGCAGGGTTTGAGGAAGAGCTGCAGAGTGTGATGTGAACAGTTTATCCTAATGCAAGCATTAATGGTTCCTTCTATGGCCCGAACTCGTGACCTATAGGTCATACAGAGATAATTTTATTGTTGCTCCAAGGCTCTCCTTCACTCCAACTGCGAGTTCATTACTCCAATGATCATTTTTGACAAGTCAAAATTATATAGTAAAATCATATGTTTTTGTTTTCACTTATTTATGCCTATATATTTTTGTTCTATAAAGCGGTGGTTAAACCGGCCATGATGTATGAGGCTGAGTATTGACCCGTTAAGAACTCACATATCCAGAAGATGAAAGTAGCAGAAATGAGGATGTTGAGGTGGATTTGCAGGCACACTAGGATAGATAAGATTAGGAATGATGTTATTCGGGAGAAGGTGCATGTGGCTCCCATTGATGACAAGATGCGGGAAGCGAGACTTAGATGGTTCAGATATGTTCAAAGGAGAAGCCTAGATGCTCCGGTACGGAGGTGTGAGCGGCTGGTTGTGGAGGGCACGAGAAGAGGTAGAGGACGACCTAAGAAGTATTGGGGAGAGGTGATCAGACAGGATATGGCGAGACTCCAGATTTCCGAGGATATGACACTTGATAAGAAGATGTGGAGGTCGAGTATTAGAGTCGTAGGTTAGGATGTAGTTGAGTCTTGACTTACTTCGTACCATTGTGGGACTAGCCAGGTAAGGTTTTTGTCTAAGATAGCTAGTGACAATGTTGTGTTTTACTACTTCGTTTTTCAGTGTATATCCTATTTACTAGCTATCGCTTTTGCTTTGCATCTTTCTTCTGCATTCCATGGTGTTCCTATTTTTTCTGTGATTGTTGTGGTGATACTAGTATTATCATCTTTTGTCCTTTTGTATTTTTGTTTTCTTGAGTCGAAGGTCTTTCAGAAACAGCCTCTCTACTCCATCGGGTAGGGATAAGGTCTGCGTATACACTACCCTCTCCAGACCCCATTAGTAAAATTTTACTGGATTGTTGTTGTTGTTGTTGTTGTTGTTGTTATTTATGCCTGTATCACTTCAAGCGTCACTTGGCCTAATTTCTCCAACTTTCCGTTGCCAAATCCCTAATGTGGTATTTTATTTGTTTATTTTCTGGACCACGTGAAATCCCTAAATAATACCCAAACAAATTGTAAAAACCCACCAGTAAAAAACCCGTCCCGATATTCTTTTTCCCCTAGCCGTACAAATTTGGGTGCTTGTGGAATGAAAATTATTTTACATATTAAATATACCATTAAAGGTGGTAACTTTAGCATTTTCCATTTCTGTAACTTAAAATGCTTGTGGTTTGGATTTTTGGTGTAACAAACAAAATTGGGATGCATTTTCTCCTGAAATTCAGCTAATTAGTGAGTAATAGCAATTGAATTACATGCTCCATCTGATATCTTTTTGACTAAATTATTAGTAATAATTGTTCGGTAACATCTCTGTAATCAGCTTGTTATGGTCTAGTTTGTCTATATCCTTGTCCCTTACAGGTTTTCTGGTTCTATTCATTGTACATATTCAGCTCGTTCTCAGCAATATCTGGTAATTTATTTTCCTACTATGCTCATTTCTACCATAATTACTTAATTTCACGTGATTAGATGTTAAGAGGCACAGATTAATACGGATTTTATAAAATAAGGAGAGGGCAGGTTTTTTTTGTATATTGCGGGTGGGTTATAGCGGGTCGGGTTTGTTATTGGTGGCACAGATTAATGGGACGGAGTTGGTTGTGATGAGAAAACTGGCAATGTTGTGAAGCTTGATCTTTGTAACAAGAAGTACCTTTTAGAAAAAACTGTTGAAGCTCCAAAAAAGATCTTGATTAATCACATGAAAAATTTCTTAAAAGGCGAGTTAAATCCTTCTTTGCTTAAATTGAAGCACTTGAGTTACTTAGACTTGAGTCACAATTACTTCTTAGGTGTCCAAATTCCATCCTTTTTTGGATCTTTGAAAAACTTGAGATACCTTAATCTTTCATGTTCTGGTTTTCGTGGACATATTCCACATAATCTTGGAAATTTGTCAAGATTAGAACATCTCTATCTTGGTGGAGGTTGTGAATTTGTTGTAGGACCAGGAAATGATTTCAAGATAGATAGTTTTAGTTGGATATCTAGGCTTTCTTCTTTGAAAAGTTTAGATCTTTCTCAATTGAAACTTGAAGATGCTAAAGATCTTTGGAAATCAATTAACATGCTTCCTTCATTGCTTTCATTGAACTTAGAAGGTTGTGAACTCAAAACTTTGCCTTCTTTCTCACAAGTTAATTTCACATCTCTTAATTCTCTTAACATCCGAAAGAACATTATTGGAAGAATAATGATCTCCAGCAAATCCACTGTGAGCACCTAATTTTTTACCGTGCTTGAATATTCCCCACTCCACTTTCTCTTGTCCCCCATGCTTGTCTCCCCACACTTTGTTCCCCATTTCACTCTTCCCCGCTCCTTGTCCTCCATGCTTGTCCCCTATCATAAACCCCATACCCATTTTCAGCTATTAAAAAGACACACATAACACACAAAAAGGGGGAGGAGATCTGAAAAAAGAAAGAGAAAACGCAGCAGCTGCTGTCCATCTTCTTGCTCAAAAACAACCTCAAAACAACTTCATCTTCCTCACTCAATAACCATGAAAACCAGCTGAAACTTCAGCCATTAAAACACCCCAAAACTCAGCAAGGATTAGCTAAATCGGAGCTCAAAATTCACCCCAAAACGACCTCAAAACACGCTCCAAAAACGAGCTGAAAATTGACCCCGAACCAGCCCAAAAAGCCACATGAAACTTCCAAAACGCAACAGCTTAACACCCTCTAAACCCCTTCATACACCAGCTCTTAAAACCATCTTGAAATAGTCTCAAAGCATGCCCAAAAACCAGTAAAAATACACCAAACTCTAGCTCAAAATCAGCCACTTCTCTAAAAGTTTCGGCCGAGCTTTGAGGTTGCCGGTGAGGTTCCGTTCGAGGTCGACGGTGTTGGTTTCACATTCCATTCACTTAATAAGCGATTTGCTGTACAAGTTCCCTTATCAATATATTGGAAGGCTTTGAGGTTCATTTTTAGCCTTATCTAGTCTCTTTTTAATGATTTCAAATGTTTATAATACTTGCTTTAATTGCAAGTTACTGATTTCTGCTTGGGCACACTGATCTTGAATTGCTCACTTATTTTATTTTATCTGTGTCGTTTGGCTGCCTAATGCGTTGGAAGGTTGTTGTTTGCGCGACATGAGTTTTGTAGCGTTTTGAATCTAGCTAATTTGTTTCAATACAGTAAATATTTTTGTGTTAGTAAACATCATATTCTCGTTTCTTGCTTGAGTTTAGTATGAGAAGTTGGTTGCTTTAATTTTGTCTCCTAGTATGAGTAAGTTATGATTGTGAGTATGAAATTTAGCATGATTCAGTTTCTAAATGGATTGAAACTAGAATTGGGCCATAGATAAAGATTTGTAGGCCATGGAGAAGTGATTCTAAAATTGGAAATTGTTGGACTTTACACTTAAGTTATGATTTAAAGTAGTATGGTCCAAAATAGACTTTGTCCAATCCAATAATATCACAATCACATACTATCTCTCCCACAATAATATTTGATTCATAAGTCATGGCCTCATAATAATCTCAAAATTTAGGAAGAATAATGAACATCGTTATAGTTGCTTTAGGCGCGCTTTTAATTTAGTTTATCGCGATTATGTATACGTTAGCGCGACATAATTGTGATTTTTAAAATTAAAATCGAAGTATGTGTTCGCGCAACTTTGACCAAAACAATCTTAATATAATAAAAATGCTATTAATTGTGTACACGTACGCGTGACATGATTTTGGCACAATAAACAAAACGAATTCACACACGTGATTCGCTTCAAAAAAATTCCATATTTTAAAAGCGGATAGATAAAACATAGAAACCAATAAATCACAGTTTATTCAAAAAATAATATAAGTCAAATGTAGTCAATAAAGCGACCGTGCTAGAACCACGGGACTCGGGGAATGCCTTACACCTTCTCCCCGGTCAACAGAATTCCTTACCCGGACTTTATTTTCGCAGACCAATAATAAAAGAGTCAAATCTTCCTTTGATTAGGGATTCAAATAAAAGGTGACTTGGAACACCCAAAAATCAATTCCAAGTGGCGACTCTGTAAATAAAATAATCCATACTCAATTTTGTCACTTTAATTGAAAAAACCATTTAATCCACCTCATATCTCTTTTGGGGGTAGAAAAGGGGTGTGACACCCACCTTTATCCCTCCATGGTTTTCTAATCTTACAAGCCTCAAGAATCTTAATCTTGCTCAAAATATATTTGAAGGTCCAACCAGTATACTTGAGCAGCTTAGTTCACTAAGGGTGTTAGATGTTTCTGCTAACAAATTTGGTGATTCATTGCTAAGGTCATTGAGTAAGTTGAACAACTTGGTTTATTTGGATTTGTCATTGTATGGCCTCCACCTTTCTAATCTTCATTTTTTTACAAATCTGACTTCTCTTTCGGTCCTAATATTGGGTTCCAATGAGTTACAAGGGCCAACTCATGAGGCCTTAACAAGCACTTTTTGTCGATTAAGTGTGCTTGATTTGTCATACAATAAAATCAGTGGACTGCTTCCGACTTTTATAAGAGATCCATCTAGTTATCCCGAAAATCGGTTGAAGGAGTTATACCTAGAAAATACAAAATTCAGTGACTTCTTTCCTGAAGGACTAACAGTGCACAAGAATCTTGAAATTATTGACATTTCTAATAGCTTATTATATGGTGGAATTCCATTTTCACTGGACAGGCTGACCAATTTGAAGTTCTTAAGGATAGCAAACAACAAGTTGAATGGGAGCATCTCTTCAAGTATTGGACAGTTATCAAATCTTGAAGAACTAGATGTCTCTAACAACTTATTCACTGGTATAGTTTCAGAACTCCACTTTGCCAAACTAAGTAAATTGAAGAAACTGCACCTGTCTAAAAACTTGGTTTTGAGTGTGAGTTCCAACTGATATCCACCTTTTCAACTCAAAGAGATCGGGATGGCATCAGTAAAAGTAGGGCCTCAGTTTCCCTAATGGCTACACACACAGTCAATTCTTGAGACTTTGATTATGTCTGGTGCTAACATCAGTGATATGATCCCGAATTGGTTGAGCAATATAACATTGTTCATGACAACCTTGGATCTCTCCGGTAACTAATTAGTCGGTGGTATAAGCGTTTTGTGTGATGCTCAGCTTTTGAAAGCTAATGATCTTTCCAAGAATCTGTTATCCGGATGAATCCCTTTATGCTTGAGTAACTTGGATGAATTGACACATTTAAACCTGGCTGGTAATAGTTTTGAAGGTGATATCCCAAGTTCTTTAGGTGTTTTGCCACTGAGCTTTTTGCATTTGCAAAAGAATAAGTTACAAGGAAAGCTTCTTTTGGCACTGCAAAATTTGACATAGTTACAAAGACTAGACTTAGGAGAAAATAAATTGAAGGATGCTTTTCCTGCATGGATTGGGGAGAAGCTGCAGAAGTTGGAACTCCTGAGGCTAAATTCGAATCAATTCTATGGTGCTATCCCCTTAGAATTATGCCAACTCTCTTCTCTATGTTGGTTAAATCTTGCTGGAAATAAATTGGATGGAAATATTCCTCTTTGTTTTGGCAATTTGTCTTGCATGATTCCTGGTTCTTTAGTTTGGCCTGGTTATGTTTTTGGACAGAGAGTTGAAAGCTTTATGAAAGGAAGACCTCTTGAGTATGTTGGTGAACAGATTTTATTACTTAGAATTTTGGATCTCTCCAAAAATAACCTTGTAGGAGGGATCCCTGAGGAGTTAACAAAATTGATATCCTTGCAAAGCTTGAATTTGTCAAGAAATAATCTCAACGGGAGCATACCAAAGAAGCTAGGTAATTTAAAGCAACTGAAATCACTTGATTTGTGTCATAACAATCTTTCTGGTGCAATTCTTCAAAGTTTGGCTTCTTTGAATTTTTTGAGTTACATAAACTTGTCTTATAATAATTTATCCGGTCCGATTCCAACTGGAAATCAACTCCAATCTTTGGATGATCAATCTTTTTATGTTGGTAATCCTGGCCTTTGTGGAAACTTGATCAAGGAAAGTTGCAATGAAATCAATGGATTATTTGATCATGTAAATGAACAAACACCTCAAGGTGATGACCAAGATGGTGAACATATATCTTATAAGTTATGGTTTTATGATGGAATTGGACTTGGTTTCTGTGTTGGCTTCCTAGGTGTGCTCTACACTTTGTACGCCACGAGATCATGGCGTGTCGCGCATTTTCCAATGCTTTGCCGATTTCTATTAAGGAAAATCGTGCAGGTTTGGCCAAAAATAGCTAAACACCTTTTTCATTTTCTTTTTCCTTTTGCCTCCCATTCTCTTTCACTGCATTTTTTCAATCTAAGTTAAAGTACGAAAACTCTCTTCCGAATCCAAAATAAAAACTTTCTTCCAACTCTCGATCTTGTAGCAATTTAAATTTTTAGAATTGTTCTAATTAAGATATATCTTAAACATGCATGCCAACTTTCAACCTCACTATTATATTTTCATAGTGACAATTAGCTTGTTTGGATGGTTGTTACCTCTTGTATTGTATCGTATTGTTACTTTAAATACGATGTTTATTTTGATTGTTACTTAAATTTTATTATATCGTATCGTTAAATTCGTCGTTACGTAACAATGAAATGTGCCACTTTATGTAACGATCGATTTGGTGTGATTGCGTCATTATCTTGTCTTTTTCTCTCATCTCACCCTTGATTATTGTTAAATAATTTTATTTTATCATTTACCCTACCTTTTTGTATAATAAATTTACCCCGTATCATAAGTTTTCTTTATAATATTGTAAGTTTATTCTTCATATAGTTGGTGTGTGATATCATGAAACAACAACAAACGATACAATCTATTCAAATATTGTATTCATCAAACGATACAGTACAATACAATACAATATGATACGTTATGAAACGATGTGTAACAACCATCCAAACAAGCTGAAAACAAAATTCAATTGTGACAAATCTATTTTCATTGTATCGATTTTCAGGTGAGTTAGTAAGTGTTCGTCTTATTTTATTTTTTTATAAATAAATAGTAATGATTTAAATTAGTTCACAAGGGGTGAAATTCCCCTACTAAAAATTGATTGCCCGTATTTGGTACATTGAAATACTTGTTGATGGGTTTAAAGTATCTTAGATTTATGTTTTGATGATCTAACAAACTTATTGTCAAGAACCAGATAAAGGACCTGATGTACACTTGGTATATTTATCCATCCATAGACTTAAGCTAATGTGAGCTGTATGACTTCAGATAGAAAAGAACCAACTCAGGGACCTGATCCCTTGGAGCTTCCCTCACAACAATACGAAGTCAACTCTACAGTTGAAAAGTGACTGCCTGTACTGTACATGCTACAGTACAGAAACAGTGCAACAGTCACTTCCCATTGGGAAGGGCTTTTTACCAACCAAATATTTACATCATCTAAGTGATGTCATTCAAAGGATATTAACAAGAAGCATTACAACAAAACATCACTTGAACACTTGTGATATTAAAAAAAAGCACTCAAGATCTGATTATCCAGCATTGAAGTCACAAGTGCATCAAGAACAAAGTGCAACACTACTACGGACCAGTTCCATAATAAGTCTTTTGTATGTCCTTAGTTGAGTTGTATCTTTGTATTGGTTATTTATTGTAATTCCTACTTTGCTTATCTAGAAGCTTAAATTAGGAACCTCAAAAACCACAAACCTGTAGAGCTTGTGTCGTGACTAGAGTTAGTCATGAGTTGAAGTCTTTGTAATAGGTGTATTACAAAGTGGCTTGTAATAGGTGTATTGTAAGTTAGTGAGGAATTAAGAGTTTAATTCCTAGGTTGCAATAGGTTATAATCTAAAGATTGCTCAGTAGTGAAGTTGAAATCCTACCAGTGTAGGTCATGATTTTTTTATCCCCTTGAGCAAGGATTTTTCCACGTAAAAATCTCTCGTGTCATTTACTTACTGTTAGATTAGTTAGTTATGTGGGAACTGTTATAGGACCAGTTCTCTGTACAGTTTGGTGGACTCATACATTCTATCAATTGGTATCAGAGCAGATTCTTTCTAAAAGGTTAACACCTAGAGAGGATCCTCACTATGGCTGCTCCACCAAACTTCGAGGAAGGACAATCAACTTACAGGCCCCCAAGATTCAACGACCAATACTATGGGTGGTGGAAGAATCGAATGCATGACTTCATAATGGCAGAAGACTCCGAGTTATGGGATGTTATTTGTGATGGTCCATATGTCCCAATAAAGAAGGTAGGAGAACCTGCTGTAGTGGTGCCGAAAACCAGGAAGGAGTACAATGACGCTGACAGGAAAGCTGTAGAGAAGAACTTTCGCGCCAAATTTTTTTTGGTATGTGGTATAGGACCTGATGAATTTAACAGGATTTCATCTCGTCAGTCTACCAAGGAGATATGGGAAGCTTTACAAACGGCACATGAAGAAACTACTCATGTAAAGCAGTCCAAGATCGATATGCTCACCACTGAGTATGAGCTCTTTATAATGAAGGATGATGAATCCATTCAAGGCATGCATACTCGATTCACTTCCATTATAAATGAGCTACACTCTCTTGGAGAAATTATTCCTAGGAACAAGCTCGTGAGGAAAGTTCTTAGCGTTTTATCCAGCTCCTGGGAAAGTAAGGTGAATGCTATCACTGAAGCCAAGGATCTGCAGACACTGACTATGGACGAGCTAGTTGAGAATCTGAAAACCTACGAGATGAAGAGAAAGAAGGACAGTGAAATAAGAGAACCAAAGAATGAGAAGAACCTGGTACTCAAAGCTGAAAACAATGATTCGAGTGAGGAGGATAGTGACATGGCATACCTTACCAGAAGGTTTCAGAAAATGGTTCGAAGAAATGGAGGTATACCAAAGAGAGGCAGTTCCAGCAAACCAAAGAATTATTACCTCTGTCATAAATGTGGAAATCCAGGGCATTTCATCAAGGATTGTCCTCTTTTGAAGCAAGAGCATTTCAAGCACAACTGTGATAAAGCAGCCAAGAGGAACCCAGTTCCTGACAAATGCTTCAAAAGGAAAAACGTAGCTGACAATGTTATGAAGCAAGCTCTTGCAGCATGGGGAGATTCCTCTAGTGAATCAAAAGAAGAAAATGATGCAGGTGATAGTTCCATGATGGCAGTTGAAAATGAAGCAAATGAATATGACTGAATATTTGCTTTGATGGCTCAGTCAGACGATGATGAAGATGATGACAATGATGAGGTAAACTTTAGGGATGTTCAGAGGAATCTGAAGTCCTACTCTCCCAAGAAACTCATGTCATTAGCTAATGTTTTGATTGATGCATATCATAGTCTTGTGAGTGATAAGGATGCCTTGACCATAGAGTTAGGAGATGCGGAGCAGACTAGAGATGACTTGGTGGTTTGTGTAGTTGACCTGAAGGAAACTATAGAAAATCTGAAAAATGAGAAGGAGGTTCTAACAGAAAAAATTGCTAGTGTAGAACATGAAAGAGATGATTTAATGGTAGTTGTAGTTGACTTGAAAGAAACCACAGAGAACTTTAGTAAAGAAAAGAATGCCTTAGTGGAGAAAGCTGCCATTACTGAGCAAGAAAGAGATGATCTCTTAGTGGTAATCGTAGACCTAGAGCAAACAATTGAGGGACTTAAAGCAAAATATAGGCCTGGAAATTCTGAAAATGGGAAGGAAGTAGCTAGTGAGGCACATATTAAACTTGAAAATGAGCTGAATAATGTGAAAACTAGTCTGTGTGCTGAGCTTGAGAAAAATAGGCAGCTTCAAGCAGAATTGGAGAAAGTAAAAAATGATCTTGAGAAATCTTTTAAGTGGACCTGGTCCCCAGATGCTATTACTACCATGTACTTTAATAATGGTGGACACATGCAGGGAATAGGGTTCCAAAGGGAGAACGTTCCATATAACTCTCATAGCAAGTACGTCACTGTACCTGATAACTGGTTTTGTACCCACTGTGGGAACAATGGGCATTTCAAGGAAAATTGCCAAGCCAGAGTCCAGTCTGTTCAGAAATACCAAGTTTTTGTTGAAAAAGTAACTACTGGAAGAGGACCAGGTGCCACTCACAAAAAATGCATGTTGCCTGCATGGACTAGAAGAGCTCTCATTCATCCCTTTTCTCATTACAAGGGACCCAAACTTGTTTGGGTTCCTAAGTCTAACCCTTGATTTATCTGTGCAGGGAACAGTGAAAGAAAGCAGTCAATAATGGATTATGGACAGTGGATGCTCTAAGCATACGACTGGGAATACCATGGACTTCCTTTCACTAAAAGCCCTGCAAGGAGGGAATGTATCCTTTGAAAATGGAAAAAAGGGGTACATTCTTGGTGTTGGAAAAGTTGGAAAGTCTCTCTCACACTCAATTGAAAACGTGTACTATGTAAAAGGTCTGAAGTATAGTCTCTTGAGTGTTTCTCAAATCTGTGATAAAGAAAAAAAGGTAGAGTTTTTGTCAAAGGTGTACACAGTTACTAATCTGGTAACTGGTGAAGTGGTACTAGTGGCCAAAAGATACAAGAACATCTACATTGCTGATTTCGAGTCCCTACAAAGTGGTGATATGAGCTGCTTGAAAGCAGTTGATGATGATGCAGAGTTATGGCTTGAATGAGGATTTCACATGATGATTCACTTGGACATTGTTTCTCAGAACCAAGGATGAGACCTTCGAAGTGTTTGCAGCCTTTGTCAAGAAAATCCAAGTAAAGATGGAATCAAAAGTGGCTTGCATCAGATCCGATCATGGAACAGAATTTGACAATGCCAAGTTTGATGAATTCTGCAGTGAAAATGGCATCACCCACAACTTCTCAGCTCCAAGAACTCCACAGCAAAATGGAGTTGTAGAAAGGAAGAACAGAACCCTTGAAGATATGGCTAGAACAATGCTTATTGATAGTGGGATAGCCAAAAACTTCTGGGCAGAAGCCATAAATACAACCTGCTACTTGGTGAACAGGTGCATGATCAGATCCTTCCTGAACAAAACTCCCTATGAACTTCTCAATGGAAGGAAGCCCAAGCTGACTCACCTAAGAACGTTTGGGTGCAAATGCTATGTTCTCAACAATGGAAAGGATCAGCTTGGAAAATTTGACGCCAAAAGTGATGAAGGAATTTTTCTGGGGTATTCCTCTCAAAGAAAAGCTTACAAGATTTACAATAAAAGGACTCAGTATGTAGAAGAAAGTGTTCATGTAATCTTCAACGAGACACTTCCATCTGGTGAGAAGAGCAACAAGGATGATCATGACAGTGAGCCACTGCTGGTTCTAGGAGATATCACCGACATGGAAAATGGAAAGGCAAATATGATGAGTCAAATGAAGGAGACAATTGAATACAATGCAACCTCTTCCTCTCCAACTCAAGAGGAACCAGGTACACACATCACAACCACTGAAGCTGAAGAAAGAGTAGCTGATACAGTTCAAAGTACCCCACAGGCAGCCGAAAGAGGAATTCAAGGGAACCATTCAGGATTACCTAGTTCCTCCATTAATGAGATTCAGGTTCCAAATTGGAAACACAAAAGCTCTCATCCTCTCGATAATATAATAACCCCCCTTGATTCTGGAGTCCAAACTAGATCAAAAGCCAGAAATTCACTTGCCTTCTCAACCTTCCTCTCCCAAATAGAACCCAAAAATATTAAGGAAGTCTTGAAGGATGCAGACTAGATCACAGCTATGCAGGAGGAGCTGCATCAATTTGAAAGGAACAAAGTATGGCACCTGGTACCTAGACCCTCAGATAGAACCATCATAGGAACCAGATGGGTATTTAGGAACAAGCTTGATGAGAATGGAAACACTACAAGGAATAAGGCAAGGCTAGTTGTCCAAGGTTACAATCAGGAGGAAGGGATTGATTATGATGAGACTTTCGCTCTAGTTGCTCGTATAGAAGCCATCAGAATTCTCATTGCCTTTGCATCACATATGGAATTCACCTTGTTCCAAATGGATGTCAAAAGTGCATTTCTAAATGGTTTTCTAAAGGAAGAAGTCTATGTTAAGCAACCTCCAGGTTTTGAATGTCATAAACATCTGGAATATGTGTTCAAATTGGACAAGACACTGTATGATTTGAAGCAAGCTCCTCGAGCTTGGTATGAAAGGTTATCAAAGTTTCTCTTAGAAAATGGCTTTACAAGAGGAAAAATTGACAACACTCTGTTTCGGAAGAAACAAGGAAGGAACCTGCTCATTGTTCAGGTATATGTTGATGATATTATCTTCGGGGCAACATCTGACTCACTTTGTTAGGAATTTGCAAAACTCATGGGAAGTGAGTTTGAGATGAGCATGATGGGGGAGCTGAACGTTTTCTTGGGTATTCAAGTGAACCAGTCCACGAAGGGAACTTGTATTAGTTAGCGGAAATATATCAAGGAGCTTTTGAAGAGGTTT